GTATAACGATAAAGCCATCGGCAGCTGAAGTTTCGCTGCAAGCTTTAGTAGATCACACTAATGTGCGTCTGTTCGAAAGCCAAAAGAGCATTCTAACTGGTTTATCGTTGGATGAATACGAGATCAAGTATAAATGGGGATGTGACGGCAGCAGTAACCATTCTCGTTATAAACAGAATTTCGTTGATGAAAATGAGGACGGTGAATTAGTTGACTACAATGATTCACACATATTTTCTATTGCTCTGGTTCCTCTTCAGATTTCCGCAAAGATCTCAGAACATGAACATAAGGTTTTCTGGAACAATGATTTGCCATCGTCTGTTTCCCTATGCAGGCCAATCAAGCTTATTTTTTCTAAAGAAACTTCTCAGCTTACGCAAACAGAAGTTAAGAAAGTACGGCAGCAGATACAAAATCTGAAACCGACAGAAATGTCTCACGATGGTCGAAAAATCACCATATTTTCAACCTTGATATTAAGTATGATGGATACCAAGGTAGTAAATGACCTAACAGGGACAAATTCGCAATCTTGCTCTTTTTGTGGTAAGAGTGGAAGGAAACTTAATGACGCTGCAGACAATCATGTTCCAGATGATCCCAAAATGTTTTGCCGTGGATTTGCTCCTCTCCATTGCTCCATAAGGACGATGGAGGTGTTCTTAAAGATTTCCTATCGATCGAAGATGGACAAGCCAACGTGGCGAGTGGCAAAATCGAATGAACGGAAACTTGGGCTCAGGATAAGTGAACCATTACCAAGCGGAGGTAACAGCAATGACGGGAACACTGCACGTAAATTTTTCAGAGAGTGGCGTACAGTGTGTGAAATAACTGGACTGAACAAGGAGTTGCTTGAAAGAATCTACACTATTCTTGTCGTAATCAACAGTAAGCGCGAAATAAACGGTGAAGCATTTCGTCCCTATCTAGAATCAACTAGACTACTCTACGTCAGCGAGTATGGGTGGTATCCCCTCTCTCCAACACTGCACAAAATTCTGGTCCACGGTAGTGCGATTGTCAAACACTCTATTGTTCCAGTTGGGATGTTGAGTGAAGAAGCCTTGGAGACACGCAACAAATCTATCAGGAAATTCCGTGAGTTCCATTCTCGCAAATTCAGCCGAAGTGCCAACATCGAAGATGTATTTAATCGATTGTTACTTACATCTGATCCGGTTATATCGCTGATGAACAGAAACAGGAATAACCAAACTGAGGAATCTCTACCCGAAGAAGCTCTTAAACTTTTAATTGTCAACTATTGATACTTGTCAAACTTACTGGGTATTTAAACAATAAATATTATTAAATTTATCCTTGCACTCTGTTTTTAATATTTATGAATCACGAACTTCAGGGAAAATAAACCATTGTAATATTTAATAAGGTTTGTAACATAGTCCCAGTAGGCCATGTTTGATGTTTAATAATATAAGCTAGGGTAAACCGTATAATAATTAATTATCTCTTCATACATTGATTTCTCGCAAAATTTTTGTTCTAGACGCTTTTAGAACTTTTGATGGTGCATATTTTTGCCGAAGTAATCAAAATACTATCTCCTTCATTTGAAGAGTTATGGCAGTTTTTTGCATAAAAATATGAATTTTTGAAAATTAAATTAAATGTTTTAAACAAAAATCGCTCTCGCAGTTTTCCCACCACAAATGAATAAAAAAAAACGATCTTTCGAATGGAATTAAAAGTTTGAAAATCGGTTTGCTCCTTTTAGAGATATTGACCATTGAAAAGTGTCATTTTTTGAAGAAAATCGCCTTTAACTTTCCAATAAAAAAAAGATAGCAAATTGGTTGGTTCAGCAAAAATATTTGACATTAAAAGTTCTAAAAGTGTCTAGAACATTATTTTTACGAGAAACGAACGTATGAAAAGATATTCATAGATAACCAATTTTTCAGGGGCCACCCTAACCTGCTTGTTTGAAAAAATCATAACTCATGAACCATAAGAGATGGAAATTTGGTGTCTTCTGCAAAGTTGCTGCAAATTGATTGTTTGACAACTTTGTAGAAAACTACATTGGTCTATCTCAAACAATAAAAAAGTTTGCATTTTCAATTCACCAATTTTATGGACCACCCTAATTTCACTAACATGAAAAGATCGGTCAAAAAATATGAAGAAATTTTCCCGAAAACACCATATGCCTAAAATCAACGGTTTTAGCGCAAACATTTTTGTCTTCCTAAATACGGCTTTGGGACCATTGTGCATTGGTTGCTCAAAAAGTTCGCAACTCTATTGATAATTTGAAATAAACTACCATCCTCAAACTACATCGAGTAATTAAGTTGTTTCCAACATGCTCTGCATAAATTTCTACATCAAGTGTAATGACAGTTCTTATAACGGAATGGTTTTTTAGAATAAAGATTTTCGTATAAAACCTTCACGATATAGTTTTCTAGTCTCGGTGAATTTGAAAAAAAATGAACTTAACTCGAAAATTTACCGAACGTAAACATTACAAAATTATATAAAAAATCAACCGAAAAGTAGTCTACGGAATCCGTTCATGCGATAAAATAATCTGTAACAGAATTGTACGTTTCCCGGTTGGGTGTAGGTAACTGTTTGAATTTATGTCGTAAGTGATACGTTAGAGGATAAAAAGTGTGATAAAAGGTGCAATAACCCTCCTCTGAAAAAATATAGAAAATCAAACTATGTTACTTACTAACTAAGGACAAAGCCAGGGATTTGTGAAAAAATGAAAAATTAAAACACATACAAACCGAAAATCAACTGCGGTAATAAATTGTAAGGACTGTTTCCAATTTTATTTAAATAATAATACTTATACAAAATTACAATAATCGTTTAAATAATAGTATAATGTTTCTCTCTTTCTCTCGTAATTACATGTATATATTAAAACTTAAAACAATTAGCGCAAAGTAAGGATTACGGTAAAATATTACAGTGCGTCACTTCCAGGTTAATAATATGATGATGATGATAGTAGTTTAATGTAATAAAACAAAATTATATATTGCAAAGACTAATACGAATGATTGTTTCCAGATGAAATTTTGAAAAAATAAAGCAAGTAAATGTTGATGATTCGCTTTAACCGTTCGTTTGCTACAACGAACCGTGTGCTAGACTTGACTTCGTTCTACTCGCTAGTGATTCGATTTAACAAAAACTCCCATCTAGCTCACCATGCAAACGATACGAAAACACCAGGAATTACGGTACAACTCAAATCCGAGCATTATTCTTTTTTTTCTATCAAACTACCAATAACTGTATGCACTTAACTGGAACAATTTCTCTTTCAGAATACACACTTAGCTACTACCGACAGAACAAAAAAAAAGAAGGTATATGCTTCGTTCACTTAACTAGATAACATCGGAATCTCTACTGGTTGTTAGAATATCTACGGTTAAAGAGTTGTTCGCTCTTTGCTTCATTGCAAAACCTGATCGGGTCGAGTTTTAAGTTCGCAATTTCGTTCGTCGTGTTCTCGTGAAAAAGAAAGGCCAACACAGCTCGGAAATTGTCATTTGACTTCATGGGGATGCTTAGCTCTTGGTTGGAAAGTAAGCACCATTTCTAATTAGTGAAGAAAATGTATCTAAAAGTTTCAAAAGGCACCAACGGTTGTATCACATGTTTGATTTGAATTCGATATGCTTCGTCGGATGGTGTGGTTAGTTTTTTTTTATGTTATGAATGAGGTGAATAACGGAGATGGGAACTGTGGAGGTTCGAGTGTAGGATAAAAAGTGAGAACTCTACACGGCGCTTTGAAGGGGTGTAGACACACTTTCCGTCGACAACCATCATCGGGGTGGTGCGCTGCTTTTGATGCTGATGGTCGATGCTCGAACGTGGTGAACGGGTTTCGGTATTGGATGATAGCGCGAAGAGTGTCTTGGCTGGTGGTTGTGGTGAGTTGTGAGATTTGGAATTTTCATCAAAGTGGGGGGACTGGTATAATCACTTTTGCACGGATTGTAAGCAATTTGGGAAGATGATAGAAGGTCCCACAAATCAAAACGCTCCTTAATTTAATTTGTCATTTAAATAAGAGGAGGTGATTAGTAGAATGATGGATATGACGATGGCAAAGCCAAAAGTGATTATATGCGGAAAGCTGCTGGGGCGAGTAGTGATGCAATTTCTTTTTTTGGATTCGTTGGATCATGAAGTCAAAAAACAAAATGTATATATTACTGTCGTCTCTATTGTACAATTGCTAAGCTTGTATGGACAGAATAATGATGGTTCATGGGAGAGGTTTTGTTCAATTGTGTTCACAATTTGCGAAACGATAGCGGCTACCGTTTAACACCTAAACCTGCCTTAAAGTAGAGCTATACAAAATATCTTTTCATCAAAAGTTTTACCACGATCGAGTTGGTGTAAATATACGTTGATCCCTATGAGTTTTTGTTTGTTTGTTTGGTTTGCTTTAGTCAATAATCTGAAATGCATTCATAATGCAAAAAACTTTTTGCGTTTGCTTAATATCGCTTGGAAAATTTGCTCGACGGAAGCAAAAGTAAGATGTCCGTAAACAGATTCGTAATAGAATAAATGGATTGAATCATTCTGACCGCTTTGTCAAAGCATTATTTGATCCGAAAAGAAGCCGAAAATAACTTAAATTCGAACTAAAAGAAAAAATAATCGAACTAAACCTAAAAACTCCTTCGATTAGCGCCTCACATATCCTTTTGCTGTCGCTATTTAAGCTAACCAAAAAATATGGTAAAATCTTATTCGAACGCAGAAACTATAAACGTACTACGGAACCAATATCGCTAAACAGTAGTAACAAGAAAGAGAGTGTGTGTGTGTGTGTAAATGTTTCAGCTCAGATTAAAAATTATAAAACGAACAAAACTTCAAACGATCTAGAGAAATTCTCTATCGCTATCTCTCCTATCATAGTTCTTTTTTTTTTCTTGTGAGTGTATGTGTAGCAAATGTAAAGTAGAGAATATCAAGCTGATTCTAGATCAGTGTCGACTCACCGACGCCATTCATCCGTCCGGCATTGTACCGGTAGTGGTCTCCGGCCACCACCGTGCTACTATTGTTGTTACTGGTGCTAATGGTTATCTGTTGGGTCTGCTGCAGGACGACGACCTGGCTTGAGCTGCTATTGCCGTCCATCATTGGCGTCTGGGGTGAGTCCAGTGGTTTGGTTCCGACGAATGAACTTTCTAGCCAACATCTAAAAAAAGGCAATGAAGAAATCAATCGATTCGTGGGTGACGAGAATTGATAATTGAATACGCACCTTTGGCTTGGACTAGTGGATCTACTGCGGGAGTGTCGGTTGGTTTGGTCATTTACATAATGTACAATCGCAGAGGTGACCTCTTTGATGGATGACTGGATCTCCGGTGTTACCACTGGATCTACCTTTTGCTGGTGCTGATGTTGATGTTGTTGTTGGTGTTGCTGATGCTGCTGTTGCTTCTGTTGCGATAACAGGGAGGATGCGAGCCTGGTTGGATGAAAAACGTGTGTGTGTGTCTTATTATTTATGATCATTTTTGCCGGTAGTTCTATTCACAAGCGCTAACTCCATGAAATTATTGGGGGGAAAAGATGTATTTGAAAATAGTCCATACATAGTATCTAGTACATAGTACATAGTACATAGCAGGAGCTACAGGATAAGCAATTTTTTGGTCATCTTTGGAGTGTTGTAACTTCGTCATATATGATGATATTTTAATTCTTTCGAAAGCATTCGATTGGAAAACTAATACAGTTCTAGGGTCTCGCCACGAAAATAAACATGGTCACCGGATACTGGAGATGTTCCGGGATTCCGGCGGGCTTGTCTAACTGGTTAAATTTGTGATGCGAGTTTTTATAGGATGCTAGTTCAACATGTATATTTTTAGTGAATACACAGCAAGAAAAGAAGAATCATTTCCAAAGTGAATTAAATACCAAGTACTAAAATTGAAATATGACCATTTCCCAGAAATCGGTTCTGATGGAGGGTTCTGAAGGCGGTCAGATCTTTTAATCACTCAAAACATGCCGTGCGACAGCTCTTTCTCATGATTTTTCGTGAATCGGCTTTCTATAAACTTTAAATGCATCATTGACCACATTGGCCCCTTTAGGAACCTACGGGAAGCCCCCGAGGTAACCTGAAGCAGGGGACAATTGCGTTTTTACATCAAATCATGCCGCGCTACCGCCAATTTCTCGTGACTTTTCAACAATTCTATAGATTTGAAGTGAATATTGACCACATTAGCCGCCGTCTGAACCACCAGGATACCCCCGGGGGAACCTGTTGCAGGGAACAATTGTATTTTTACAACAAAACATGCCGTGCGACAGTTCTTTCTCTATGGAGGCTTTTATTACTTCCTACCAGTGGAACAGCGGCATCTCTGTGAAAATGGCCTGGCGATGGTGATTCTTTAGCGGTCAATTTAAAGTTAAATTTTCTTACTTGGTACACGGCAAATGAGAACAACCCAAATTTGAGTTTTGTTTACTCATAAATCACACAAAGTGCAAGAACTCAGTGATTAGTAAATTTGCCTCATGTTTTTCCAGGTTTTTCCAGTTTGGTCCTGGAAAAAATCCCGAACATGAGAGAAGTAAAGATTAGATTCACTCAGTCTATTGGTACTACTCCTAGACTGAGTAACATTTTCGTCAATTTTCCTCATTTTCCGGCAGATTTTTTCAGGTTTTTCACAGAAAAACATGAAGCAAATTTACTCATCGCTGAGTACCTGCCAGTCTTGTAAACGGTCACCGTAGTCGACGCATTTTCTGTGATAATCGACTGCCTTTGCTTCCGACACTTGCAAAACAAGCTATCAAATTACAGTACCAAACTAAAATGTCATATGACAGGCTCTGTCATACGACACTGTCGCCGAAGGCCGTCACGAATGTATGTATTTTAGTTTTTTCTCATAATAAGAGCTGCTGATGCTGTGCTTGTGTGAATTTTGAAAATAGCAAGCAACGATGTCCTAGTAATAACATTTTTGATCAGAAATGGTTTAATTTACTCCAAATTGTGGAATTAGAACAAAACCTCCATGTCATATCAGCCATAACATTTGATAACGGCACAAAAGCATTTGTAAACAAACTTTCTAAGGCCCTTTACACGCGAGCCAAAGTACACGCACGCAAACCAACACCACTTTCGGAAAGGAGATAGTTGCTCCTGTCTGATGATGTTGTTGGTTTGCGTGTGCGTACTTTGTTTCGCGTGTAAAGGGCCTTAGAAAGTTTGTTTACAAATGCTTTTGTGCCGTTATCAAATGTTATGCCTGATATGTTAGTTGTTTGATAATTTTCTTTTTGCGTTGTTCTACCGTTTGTGTTGTGTGAGCAGGGCTGGTAGTGAGTATGTGATTCAATAGTAGTGACTTTAGTGACTAAAATAACGAAAATAGTGACTAAATAGTGACTTTTAAACAATAAAAAGTGACCAATAGTGACATTGATTGATCAGAAAGACATGGTTTCAATCTTCCGTTGATTGCGATTGCCACTTCGAGAAATTTTATTAACTCACAAAACAATCATGCGCATTTTTCATGTTTCTAAAAAAATAAAACAAACGGTTTAAGGATCCCATTGTTCTCAAAAAATAAGTATGAATTGAATAAGTTTTTTTTTAAACAAACTATTTACTAAGTTGATATTAGATCCACATCACACATTGATGATTAGATCACAAAATTGAGGAATAGAGAAAAATGTTCAAATTCAAAGATTTAGCCAAATTTTGACAATTTTAGGACAGTCAATTTTAAATATCTAGGATGAAGATCGCAGTTTAAAAAACATCTCATTATTATGGAGCGAAGAAAATTATACCAGATGGAAAGATCACGGATATAAAACAAAATTTGAATGTTTCGCGATCTAATCTAATCTAATCTGATACAAACGCAGCCAGTTCGAGAAAGCATCCTGGAAAATGATTAGATTAGATGAGGTCTAATAATTTTTCTTGTCTAATTGATGTTTGCAGCATATCTGAGATATGATATAAACATCAATATGGCCAGGCCTACTGCGTTGTATTTGCATGGCTGTTACAAGATTTTCTAAATTTGATCCGCGAAATCCGCGATTTCTCAAAAGAAATCCGCGACTTCAAATACTAATCCGCGACTATTTTCATTGCCTAAAAATAGCATTTGTACACTTCTACATGACATTTCAAGCTTATTGCTTATATCATATTAGATTTGTGCCTTAGTGTTTTTTGAAGTACTTTCACATTTTAATTGAGAGCTTTTTATGCCTGTACCATCCTATGCCCAAGGAAGTAGAGAATTTTTCCAACCCAAAAAATTAATAGACCGGACGGGAATAGAACTCAGTCGCCTCCAGCATGGACTTAGTTTGTAGCTGCGCCTTTACCGACTGAGCTAAAGGAGTATCGTTTGTAATCTTCGAATTAAAAAAAAATAACATTGTATGATAGTTATGTATGTATAGTATAAATTCTGAGTAATTAGTGAACATAACAAAACACCCTTAAATTATGAGATTCTATTTAATAATACCGGCCTAGATTTGATGAAATATTATTTAAAAAAAATTAATGCATTTTCATTTGAAATGCAATTTTTTTTTGAACATTAACCAGAGACGTATTTTGCTGTCCTAAATGTTGTAGTAATTTGGCTCTAGTTTTCTCAATTTTTGACCGATTCAAACCAAACACCCTGCACATAATCGAGAAATTACCAGAGTTTCAACACAATTGTTGGTCCCGTTGCGGTTCTGTATTTACACGGATATTCCTTGGGTTCTGTCCAATGGTGAGAAATTTTCATGATATTTCTTTTCTAATATGAACCTACCTCTTTTCGCTGTCAAATCATAACCGAATCGTGTATATGTGACTTTGTGGATCATGCGCGACTTATTACTATGTATACCGGAAATTATTCCAAATCGTTCAGGACATCAGTTGATTTGTTCTAATAGATCAACCAAGACTGCAATAATGTCTTAAGTATTGAAATATTTCCAGACAACGCACAGTATCTATGTGGATCATGCATGATCTATTTCCGAGTAATCCAGATGTTCAAAATTCTTCAAATCGTCCTGAAGTTCAGTTAGTTTGATCTACTAGATCAACCGAGATTAGGACAATGTCTTTAGTATCGAAATATGTCCAGACAGATGCACAGTGTCTATGTGGATCATGCATGAACTATTGTCTTGTATACCAGATGTTTTAAGTACTCCAAATCGTTCTGAGCCTCATAGCCTAGTCAGTAAAGGAACGGTATTACTAAGCCGGAGGCTGCGGAAATTTTCTCGACTTCCCTGGGCATAGAGTATCATTGTGCTTGCCTTGCCACACAATATACAAATGCATGCATTGGTATTGGCATCGAAAGCTCTCAATTAATAACTTTGGGAGTGTATTTAGAACACTAAGTTGAGAGCACGCAATAAGTTAATATGCACAAATCAATAAGCTTGAAATACTAATAATAAGAAGAAGAAATCGTTCTGGAGTTCAGATGATTTATTCTACTAGATCAACCATGACTGGGATGAAGTCTGTAGTATCAAAATATGTCCACAGATTCATACTGTCTATATGGATAATGTTTCAGGAAAATTACGTATCAGTTAATAATATCACTGAACGGCGCCAGTGGTGTAGTGGTAAGCGTGATTACCTCTCACCCCAGCAGGCCTGGGTTAAATACCAGTCGGCGCCGCCGGGATGTTCTGAGGCATAACATCTCTGATCACGCCTTCCTTCGGATGGGAAGTAAAGCCGTTGGTCCCCGGTTCATGAGTTGATGGGTCGATAGGTAGGGTCCAGGTGTGTGAGCTGCCTTCCTGGCACGTCGGTAGCATTGGTGCTCAGCACGTAAAACAAGGTCGAAGGAAAAAAACAAACCAAAGGGAAATAATATCACTGTTAACGAAATTTTTATGATTCTTGAAAGTCTCGATGCCGGCAAAGGACCTGGTCCTGATGAAATACCTCCATTTTTATTGAAAAAAAAATAGCAACTAGTTTTGTTAAACCATTGTTTTGGCTTTACAATTTATCTCTCAAAACAGGTGATTTTCCAAAAATTTGGAAGAAATCATTTTTAGTCCCAATATTTAAATCTGGCAAACGGTCATACATTAAAAACTATAGAGGTATTGCAATTATGTCATGCATTCCTAAAATGTTTGAAGCAATTGTTAACCAGAAAATATTTAACCAGGTTAAGCATCGCATTTCAAATAATCAACATGGTTTTTTTAAAGGTCTGTCAACGTCTACTAATCTGTTGGAATTTGTAAACTTTTCCATTGAAGCAATGGATAGAGGTAATACTGTTGAAAACTTACCCGGAAAAAAATAACCATACAATTACCATAAAAAAAAATTCAGTTCTATTGTCAACAACCTATCTTATTTTACGTATATTGTACAATAAATTTTAACATATTGTTATTACAATAGATGTAAAATAC